CCACGACCATGCAAAAGGAAGAGAGAGCGGAGAAGCATGCGAGAAAACAGTTTGTTGCCGCAAATCTCACGAATTCCCTGGCGTCCTTCTGTTGCTGCTTGCTTGGCTTCTCTGGAAACTGCAGGACGACCAGAAAGTGGGGGAGGAGGAACAGGGGAGTTTGTGGAGGTATGCACATTGCAAATGTAAGTCGCCATGTGTGAATGGACTGAGCTCCGCAGAACAACTTGCCAGATGACCTTCACAGGCTGAGCGAAACTCCCTCACAGGCGCTCTGCCCCCACCACCCTCGCTTTTCTACACCCCTCTTCACCTCTCCCGCACCTGAGCCGCCAGCGTGTGCAGAAACGTCCACGTGGCGCGCCCCAGCTCCTCCTTGGTCGCTGGGCCCGCCTCCTGTGCTGCCTGGTGGAAGAGGGGAATTGGCGCCAAGTGACAGTGGGAGTGAGGGGAGGGTCAGTCAGCAGCCATGGTCATGCCAATTCAGATGCTCATGGACCTGGAATTATGCACCATGCATGCGGATTCACCAGAGAATGAAAGTCAAGGTGTGGGCCTGCGTGGGGGCAAGGCGCAGCAGCACACATGAAACAGCAACGACACCGCTCCCTTGACCCAACAGGGTGGCACCTTCTTGAGGAAGTCCGGAGCAGGACCCGCCCACTCCTCCGCGCCGTCCGCGCCCATCCTCACCCCGCCCGCCTGCTGCTGCCTCTGCTGCCCCGCCTGCCGTCGCCCACCCGGGCTGCTCACCACAACCGCACCAGCACGAGCACCACCAGCACTACTAGCACTACTAGCAGCGGCAGCAGCAGCAGCAGAGGAAAGGGAAGAGCCGTCGGCGGCGAGAGGGGAGGGCGGAGGGGGCCGCAGGAGGGCCGCGAGGGCGCCGTCATCATCTTCGTCGTAGTTGTCATCGTTGATGTAATCCAACTCCTGCTCAGAAACACACAGAGAGAGCGTTACAGCGGGTTACATTGTAACGCGAATGGAACCGGCAGGCGCGAGGAAGTGAGGGATAGTGGTGGGATGGGAAAGGAGAGGAGAGCCGCGCAACCTCGAATCTCCGTCCGTCGCGTGCCTTGAGCGCACTCCCAGCCAGCACCGCGCCTCCCTCGCGCCTTCCCCTGCCTCTCTCGCTGTCCACGTCAGCCTCCGCCCCACTCACGCGCTGCCTGCCTGCGTACGTCGCTTCCATCGCGCGCGACAGAGACGTTCGAATCGTCGGCAGCTGATTCCGTCGCGCGTCCGTCGCCGACCCGTCACCGTCGTACGCTTTATTAGACACCAGAACTAATCCTTCGTTATTCCCATCAGCGGCAGGAACTCTACGCCGTCTGGGTGCCTTAGGCTCTAAAACAACCTCTTTGGGTCTCCCGCCGCTGATAACGGTCTGCAGAGCTCTAAGCCGATCGGGCAGCCGAAATCCACCAGCCTGCCCGTCAGCGGCCTGACCTCTCCGGTCGACTCCCGCGATGGAGGCGAGGGGTAGGGGGAACGGCACGGGGTTGCGACGAGCAGCGTCGAAGCGAGCCACGGCGCCGTGCCAGCCGCGCTCCACTCCCTGGCTGAGCTCCGCCGCGCTCCTTGCGACGAAGCCCTGCAGCTGCGAGAATGTCTCGTCAACAGGAGCCATGGCGTACCTTTCACAGGATTTCACGGCTCATAAGCTGCACTAACGAGTGATTGTAAGAGCTGCGTGTTGATTGTCCATTCAGGGAACCCTAATGAACGATGATAGCAGGCTCCAGGTTGCTTCGCTATACGATGCACCGATACTTATGGTATACTATTGTGTACATAAACACAAACTGTGCTACGGAACAACTTGATCCAAGTTATGCGGAAAGTTTGACAGACACGCAATTCAAATTGTCAGTGTCATGCGAACTTTGCAGAATATGTCGGCGCGAGTGGCGTGATGCTCTTTCGAAGTGTCAGTCTAGCAATTCAAGCGGTGGATCCTGCCAGCACAGCATGACAGCGATGCACCCACCCTGACTCCAAAAGTCGGAAAGGTTGCGTGGCGCTGCGTTGGCTGGGACAACCTGCAGCCCCCACCAATGCGCTTTGCAATCCCCAAAGTTGGATAATCCGCATCGTCATGAATCATGAAGAGCTTGTGAACGTTTATTCTTCATTCTGATCAGCACAGCTACCAACATCCTGTCGCGTTGTATTCCATAGCTTCTATTTGCCACAATTCCTGAAGCTTGTGCTGAATTTTGGCCTCAGAAAACGTGTATTAGCAATGACTTCCGTCACAGTCCTAGCGTCACTGAGTTCGGCGTCTCTTGCGGTGGCCGCCAAGACTTCATCGTTATCATACTCTCGACTGGAAAATCAAGGCGGCGTGACTCCACGTCTGGTCAAGCTGAGAAAACGTACCAATGGCTTGATTCCCTTACAGAAACGACGGCTAGTCGTTAAAAGAAATGCTCTTCCAAACAATTTTGATCACCCGGGTCAGCAGCCAGTGGCTAAAGAACGAGAATCCACGATATGTGCAGCGGCTGCTGCCGGAGTTGGTCTCATCCCGCATTCTGAAGGGTGAGCATGGCCACTGACGAGTCTTCCGTTGTAAGTTCTGCGAATGTTATTAACAATTGCTCCTTGCACCACTTTAACAGATTGTTGGACGCAATCCAGAGCATTCCAGAACGATATCCAAGCCTCGCAACAGCTACACTTTTCTTCTTCTGGTGAGCCGACATTCGAATCGTCAAGTAACTGGTAGACTGTTTGTAGACTGGTATCATGAGAAATTTGTCATGTGTATGCGCAGGTACTTTCTCAACGTAATCTTCAACATATTGAACAAGGAGATATACAACTACTTTCCGTATCCATAGTGAGTGTTATTTCGTAATTACCTCACATGGTTTTTAACGCGAATGTACATGCCTGACTTGCAATGCGTGCAACGGAGCTTTAGAGCCAATTAGATATCCGCTCTGAGCATTTGCTTGTGTTCATGTGTATGATTGTTCTCTCGTTTTCCCGTCAGCTTTGTGTCTGCAGTTCATTTAACAGTTGGAGTCGTTTATTGTTTAATCTCTTGGGCTTTGAGACTTCCCAAGCGTGCTGTGAGTAGTTGTCAATTCTGTTCTTAGACAGCTCACTCCTTGTAATATTGACGGTTTTTTTCCACCTGCAGCCGATTGACAAGGGCATGCTTGTGCTACTCGCGCCGGTCGCATTCTGCCACGCGCTTGGCCATGTTATGACCAACGTGTCATTTGCAACAGTGGCTGTGTCCTTCACACACACGATTAAGTGTAAGCTTTTCTGTCTTGGGAGCATCGGCCAGCGTACTTGGTTGATTGGCTAACAGCTTGACAAAACGGGCTTGTTTGTCGTGCAGCCCTGGAGCCATTTTTCAACGCGGCTGCATCCCAGTTTGTCCTCGGCCAGAATGTGCCACTTCCTCTGTGGATGTCTCTCCTCCCTGTTGTCCTTGGTGAGTGCCTGGCTTTACGTTTCTAGTCCCTTGGTTCCTTTCATCAAACTGACAGCTTTGTATTTCTTACTTCAGGTGTTTCCCTGGCATCCGTGACTGAGTTGTCCTTTAACTGGACTGGCTTCCTTACTGCAATGACCTCTAACATTGCCTTCACTTACAGAAATGTTTTTTCCAAGAAAGCAATGGTGAGCTTCCTGTTTGTAAAGATTTTTTCGGTGTGCGCCATTCGAAGGGGTATCTTATTCATTTCTTACCAATGTTCCAGGTTGGAATGGACAGCACAAATCTCTACGCTTACATTTCCATCCTCTCCCTTCTCTATTGCATCCCTCCTGCCATTCTGGTACGTACGAAGTCTCTGTGGCCGTACTTCCCTCTTGCACTTTTTTGCTGATTGATTTTTGGTCCTTCTCGCAGATGGAAGGCCCCAAGCTCCTTGCTGGGGGGTTCACAGATGCAATCGCCAAAGTTGGCTTGACCAAATTTCTGAGTGACCTGTTCTGGGTCGGAGTGTTCTATCACTTGTACAATCAGGTGATTGGGGCTTACCTTGTTTGCTCCTTTTCAGCATTGTTTCGGAACTGACCTCCCAACCTTCGTTCACTGCAGCTTGCAACAAACACCCTTGAGCGTGTCTCACCACTTACCCATGCTGTGGGGAATGTCCTCAAGCGTGTCTTTGTTATAGGGTTTTCAATTATCATCTTTGGTAAGTTGCAAGTTGATATGAGAACGGCTGTTGGGCTCCATTTTTGTCCTGTAATAATCACTCACTTCTACTGCTATCTCTACCCTTTTCAGGAAACACCATCTCACAGCAAACTGGCATTGGAACAGCTATTGCTATTGCCGGGGTGGCTGCATATTCATTCCTGAAGGCTCGAGAACAAGAGGTAAATTGTTTTTTCCTGTGCTGTGAAGGCATTGCACCGTTTTCCATGCATTCCTGACGCTGCTACCGTACCTGTTCCCTCGCAGAAACGTGCTCACTCCTGAGCTCTACCTGCCCACCGTGGTCTGCAAATGGTCTACATAGTTCTTCTGTATATTGTTGCTCACGTTTGTGTGTGTGTGTGGGTGGGGGGGTGGGGGGAGGGGGGGAGTTCTTGTACTGGGTAGATTAGGCTGTGCTTAGGAGCAGGGTGCTGCCAATTTTGAATTCAGTAAAAGAATTGGCCCAATGTAGATCGATTCCTTCCCTGCATAAAGCCCTCACAACTTGTAGATCTGCCAGAGTTTAGAATGCAGATTCGGCCAGTTGCACACACATGAAGAAGACAGTGAACACTGCAATAAAGGCATGAAATGTACACCCGCGTGCCTTTCTTTACTCACACATTCTTTATCTACCCATCTAACTCACCACTTCAACAGCACCATATCGTAGGTAGGAGGTGTTACGTGGATGCTTTAAACAGCAATGAGAACTTGGAGTTTGGGGTGAGCAAAAGGTTTTTAGGATCACCATCTTCAACCTGTGACAGCCAAGCTCAACAGAAACAGCTTAAGTCAGTCCACACCACAACAACTGCAACATTTAAAGGATGACAAACATAACATTGTAAGGATAGCACTGTTTACGTACAAGGGCGCCAGACTCAAAGATGAGGACACGTCGGAGGGAGAGTAGTGACGAGACTCGGTGCGCAATGGTGATGGTGGTGACGCCATGGAACTCCCGAGCTATAGTGGCATGCATGAGTGCACTCGTGGCAGCATCAATGTTGGCCGTGCACTCGTCCAAACAGAGCACCTGCAGAGAAACAGTAGTGGAATCTTGTAAGACAGAAAACGGGCACTAACAAAAGAATTGAGAAGAGAGGGGCATTCACACTCACATGCCATTTATTTGCCATGCCCGTTCCTGCCATACCTTGGATTTTCTGAGCATAACTCGAGCCAGGCACAGCAGCTGCCGCTCTCCTAGTGACAGCCCCCCTGCCGCCCCACCCACCATGGCATCCAGCCCTCCCAGCCGCCCCACTGCTGCGTCGAGATGGCACTTCCTCACAGCATCCCACAATGCCACGTCAGCATGCCTTCCCTCGGGATCCAGATTGTCTCTGGCACAGCAGGCCGTGAAATCAATGGAAGGTGTGAAGACAAGAGAGGACATCAGAGGAAGAATAGAACTGCATGCTTGAATGGACAGTGCACTAGGGAAGGAGAAAGCAAGAGAGAATATGTGGAAACGAAGGTTAACTTGTCATTGACTTGACAGGAAACTGGCCGGGCAGCACATGCAAGGCATAGTATTTGCCTGACTTGGACTGGTCATACCGGATAGGGGCGTGGAAGATGAGTGGCGTCTGTGGAATGATGGCGAGGGCAGTGCGCAGGCAGGAGAGGCTGACATGGGCAGTGTTGACGCCATCAATGAATATGCCACTGGCCCTGCTGCTACTGCTCGTGCTGCTGCTGGTTGTGGCGGTGGTGGCAGAGGCCAGGGTGAGGGGTCGCAGGCGGAAGAGGGCGGCCAGTAGGGACGACTTGCCTGCCCCTGTGCGACCCGCTATGCCCACCTGACACGCAGAGAGGTGCAGAGCGGTACGGAGAAAAAGAAGGATATGGTAGGAAAAGACAGGATCACCGGAAGGCTGCGAGCACTGGTCATGCACTCTCAGGAGTCCAACAGGCATGAATGTCCAGCCTGAGCATGGATCTTCTGAAAGGTACACCCGACAATATACTGTGTAAGTATGCTTCAAGTGAGTATACAATTGGAGCATGACTGACACAACAAGAGGTGCTTGGTCTGACGGCAGCTCACCTGAGAGCCGCCCGGAATGACAAAGGAGACGTCTGAGAGCACAAGAGGCAGCCCCACCCGGTACGCCATGCTCACACGCCTCAACTCCACCCGCCCCTCCCTTGGCCATTCCCCCACTTCCCCTCCTCCTGCGGCCGCCCCCCCTTCTCCTCCGGCATGTGCGCCCTTCCATGCACCCTCCCCGCCTTGCCCTTGTGCGCCAGGGATGGGGCTCAGGCCAAGGGCGTCTGGTTCGTGCTGCAGATCCAGGTACTGATGGCGGGCGGGGGAGTGTGAAGGTGGGCGGGGGATGGACAGGCGACGGGGGATGGGGGAGATCAGCCAGTGTAGGCAAGCAAGGGCGCAAGCAGCTGGTGATGGGGAGGTTTGTGGGAAGTGACGGGTCAGCAGCAGCAGGCGGGGATAAAGATCTCTGCTGCACCACAGAGCATGACGCAACGCCTGCCCCTCCCACACACTTCACCCCTTACATGCACCTCCCCTGCACCCACCCCCCATCTCCCTTCCCAACCCCCCCTTCCCCCGGCATCAGCCCCGCCCCTCCTCACCTCCAGCACACGCTCCACAGCAACCAGGTCTTTACCTGTGCTGGTGAGGCAAGTAAGTGTGTTGTGTTGAGAGCAGCACACTGTGACATCACGCTCCCCATCTCCTTGTCCCCTCACATCCCACCTCCAAATCCTTCCTTCTTCACCCCCGCCCCTCACTCACCTCCAGCACGCGCTCCACAGCCACCATGTCCTTCTCGGTGTCGGCGAGGGAGGTGAGCGTGCCGTTGAGCAGAGACACTATGGGCAGCGCATATGCCAGTGCCAGACCCAGCTGAGGGATGGTAGGAGGGATGGGGACGAGTATGACACAGTGTGCAGGGTGCAAGAACAACGGGAGATAGCAGGAGTCCAAACGGCAGCAGTGCTGATGGCAGCAGAGCAGACAGCACTGCTTCGGATACACGTACCAGCCCAGGCGAGACTGCTTCGGATACACGTACCAGCCCAGGCGACACTGCTTCGGATACACGTACCAGCCCAGGCGAGACTGCTTCGGATACACGTACCAGCCCAGGCGAGACTGCTTCGGATACACGTACCAGCCCAGGCGAGACTGCTTCGGATACACGTACCAGCCCAGGCGAGACTGCTTCGGATACGCGTACCAGCCCAGGCGAGACTGCTGCTGTTGTGGCCGCGGCAGCTCCGAAGAGGAGGCGAGGGGCGGAGAGCATGAGCGAGAGCAGCGACCGCAGTGCGGCGATCGTGCTGCTCATCGCTGGCAAGCTGCTGAGACCCTTCAGCAACTCACGTGCCCGTGCACTGGTTGCAACACCTGATAGAACACCTGACCATGTGCCTGACCATGCGTTGGGACATGCTGCCAGGCGAGCAGCTGGCGAGAGCCAGAGAGCTGATGCCCCATCAGCTTGCGACGAGGAGAAGTGGTGGGAGACAAAGGGGAGGGCGGGGAGGGAGAGGGATAGGAGGGGTGGGAGGAGGAGTGATGTGTTGATGGGGAGAAGGAGGGTGTGGGCCGACGCTGGGTCGGACAGGAGAGTGAACGAGGAGGAGGTGTTGTTGCTGTAAGGGAACAGCAGGTGTGGTGTGGGCGTGGGCAAGTGAGGGGTGGCAGGGGCGGGTGGAAAGGCTTGGTGCACGGTGCTGCTTGGTAGTGAGTGGTTGAGAGGCGAGTGGATTCGAACCAAGTGGTTCGAATGTGAGACATTGGGCAAAGAATGGGTGGTCATGATGCCGGTGACACTAACGAATGTCACCACCACTGCTGCCATCAGCTGCACACGCAAGGAGGGAGGCAGAACAACGAGGGAATAAGAAAAGTGTGAATTGAAGTAACCCATGCGGGATGGGTCGAATACAAGCAATACGCGGAGATGAGGGAGCATGACGCGTGCCAGGAACAATTGCAGCATGGTGCACATGACAAGGGAAAGGTTGGCCCGACAGGAAGTCGCGATGGCTTGCGTGTGAGTGAGTGGTTAGCGAGTGAGTGGTTAGCGAGTGAGTGGTTAGTGAGTGAGTGGTTAGCGAGTGAGTGGTTAGTGAGTGAGTGGTTAGTGAGTGAGTGGTTAGCGAGTGAGTGGTTAGTGAGTGAGTGGTTAGTGAGTGAGTGGTTAGCGAGTGAGTGGTTAGTGAGTGAGTGGTTAGCGAGTGAGTGGTTAGCGAGTGAGTGGTTAGCGAGTGAGTGGTTAGCGAGTGAGTGGTTAGCGAGTGAGTGGTTAGCGAGTGAGTGGTTAGCGAGTGAGTGGTTAGCGAGTGAGTGGTTAGTGAGTGAGTGGTTAGTGAGTGAGTGGTTAGCGAGTGAGTGGTTAGTGAGTGAGTGGTTAGTGAGTGAGTGGTTAGCGAGTGAGTGGTTAGCGAGTGAGTGGTTAGCGAGTGAGCGAGTGAGTGAGTGAACGCGTGAGCGAGTGAGCGAGGGAGAGAGGGAGAGAGGGGGAGAGGATGACCTGCAGGCGAACAGAGAGCCACTGCGAGGCAGCCATCTCAGAGAAGGACGCGTGCTGGCTGGCCGACATGAGGGCCACTGCTCCACGCATCACGTGCTCCTGAGACACAGCGGGGGGGAGCAAACAAGAGGAGGGAACAAGAGGAGAAAACTTTTGAGGGAAATTTTGAGGGAACAAGAGGTGGGGAACAAGAAGGGGGAAACAAGGAGGGGGAAACAAGAAGGGGCGGGAACAAAAAAAGGGTGCGAGCATGGGATGGGAGTCATCAAGGGGGGTCGAAATTAATCTGGGGGGGTCGTCGTTAATCCGGAGGGGTCTAAGTTAATCTAGGGGGGTCTAAGTTAATCCAGGGGGGTCTAAGTTAATCCGGGGGGGTCTAAGTTAATCCGGGGGGGTTTAAGTTAATCCGGGAGGGTCTAAGTTAATCCAGGTGGGGGTCTAAGTTGATCCCGGGGGGTCTAGGTTAATCCAGGGGGGTCTAAGTTGATCCGGGGGGGGTCTAAGTTGGTCCGGGGGGGTCTAAGTTAATCTGGGGGGGTCTAAGTTAATCCAGGGGGGTCTAAGTTAATCCGGGGAGGTCTAAGTTAATCCGGGGGGGTTCTAAGTTAATCTACGGAAGTCTAAGTTAATCCGGGGGGGTCTAAGTTAAATTGGGGGGGTCTAAGTTAATCCGAGGGGGTCAAAGTTAATCCGGGGGGGTCAAAGTTAATCCGGGGGGGTCTAAGTTAATCCGGGGGTGTCTAAGTTAATCCCGGGGGGGTCGACGTTAATCCAGGGTGTTGTTCATCCGGGGGGGAGCAGAACCACCTGAGCATGGAAGGCGCGGATGGTGGGTGCGCCGTGCAGCAGCTGCGAGAATGCAGCATACACGGGCGAGCGCGCTGCACTGTCCAGCCGGCGCAGCTCCCGTGATGACTGGCGGTACAGATGCTGCGAGGAGGTATGAGTGGGGAGCGATAACAGGCGAGGAGAATGGTAAGGAGGAGAGTGACCAGGAAGGATAGTCTTTAGGATGCACGTGGACAGATGAGGGATGACCAATGAGGAGCAAATAGAATGCTGAGGTTGAAATGAGGACTGAAAAAGGATAGAGTGTCGGGATGCAAGGGGCTTGCCTGAATGATAGAGTAGATGTAGGTGAGAGGCAGCAGGAGAAGCAGAAACGTCCACTGCAGGTGGAAAGAGGGGAGGGGGGAGGCAGAACGAAGGTACGAGTCACACGAGTGGATATGGGAAGGTGTGATGAGAGAGAAGAGGACGGAAAAGGCACTCCAGAAGGCTCGGCCCAACGTGGAACACTGGGGCGAGTAGGCACTAGAGGCTTGAAGCTCGTGTGAGAACAGTGAAGCACACCTGAACAGCAGCTTCCGTGTGTTGAGCATCGCACCTGAACAGCAGCTTCCGTGTGTTGAGCATCGCACCTGAACAGCAGCTTCCGTGTGTTGAGCATCGCACCTGAACAGCAGCTTCCGTGTGTTGAGCATCGCACCTGAACAGCAGCTTCCGTGTGTTGAGCATCGCACCTGAACAGCAGCTTCCGTGTGTTGAGCATCGCACCTGAACAGCAGCTTCCGTGTGTTGAGCATCGCACCTGAACAGCAGCTTCCGTGTGTTGAGCATCGCACCTGAACAGCAGCTTCCGTGTGTTGAGCATCGCACCTGAACAGCAGCTTCCGTGTGTTGAGCATCGCACCTGAACAGCAGCTTCCGTGTGTTGAGCATCGCACCTGAACAGCAGCTTCCGTGTGTTGAGCATCGCACCTGAACAGCAGCTTCCGTGTGTTGAGCATCGCACCTGAACAGCAGCTTCCGTGTGTTGAGCATCGCACCTGAACAGCAGCTTCCGTGTGTTGAGCATCGCACCTGAACAGCAGCTTCCGTGTGTTGAGCATCGCACCTGAACAGCAGCTTCCGTGTGTTGAGCATCGCACCTGAACAGCAGCTTCCGTGTGTTGAGCATCGCACCTGAACAGCAGCTTCCGTGTGTTGAGCATCGCACCTGAACAGCAGCTTCCGTGTGTTGAGCATCGCACCTGAACAGCAGCTTCCGTGTGTTGAGCATCGCACCTGAACAGCAGCTTCCGTGTGTTGAGCATCGCACCTGAACAGCAGCTTCCGTGTGTTGAGCATCGCACCTGAACAGCAGCTTCCGTGTGTTGAGCATCGCACCTGAACAGCAGCTTCCGTGTGTTGAGCATCGCACCTGAACAGCAGCTTCCGTGTGTTGAGCATCGCACCTGAACAGCAGCTTCCGTGTGTTGAGCATCGCACCTGAACAGCAGCTTCCGTGTGTTGAGCATCGCACCTGAACAGCAGCTTCCGTGTGTTGAGCATCGCACCTGAACAGCAGCTTCCGTGTGTTGAGCATCGCACCTGAACAGCAGCTTCCGTGTGTTGAGCATCGCACCTGAACAGCAGCTTCCGTGTGTTGAGCATCGCACCTGAACAGCAGCTTCCGTGTGTTGAGCATCGCACCTGAACAGCAGCTTCCGTGTGTTGAGCATCGCACCTGAACAGCAGCTTCCGTGTGTTGAGCATCGCACCTGAACAGCAGCTTCCGTGTGTTGAGCATCGCACCTGAACAGCAGCTTCCGTGTGTTGAGCATCGCACCTGAACAGCAGCTTCCGTGTGTTGAGCATCGCACCTGAACAGCAGCTTCCGTGTGTTGAGCATCGCACCTGAACAGCAGCTTCCGTGTGTTGAGCATCGCACCTGAACAGCAGCTTCCGGTGCATGTGTTGAGCATCGCACCTGAACAGCAGCTTCCGTGTGTTGAGCATCGCACCTGAACAGCAGCTTCCGTGTGTTGAGCATCGCACCTGAACAGCAGCTTCCGTGTGTTGAGCATCGCACCTGCGTGCACACTAGCAGCAGCCCATTCTGTCTCACCTGCGTGTACAGCAGCAGAGCGGCGATGCCAGCGAGGCTGAAGGAGTTGGCGAGGAGGATGTTGGCGATGAACGGCAGCGAGTCATCCACCGTGTACAGATCCGAGGAGAACCTGGTGCAGTGCGGTTAGGAGCGGTACGAGTGAGGAGGGAGGAGTGGGATGGGGTGGGATAGGGGGTGGGGAAAATCTGATGCCTCAACAGTTGTTCACTGTGAACAGATTTGAGGAGAACCTGGGAAGGTGCGGCTGGGGGGGGGTGTGAGTTAGGAGGGAGTGTAAGGAAGGGAGATGGGTGCAGGGTGGGGCGGGCAGGGTTGTGAGCTTGGGGATTCGGCCCCCTCATTCACCAGTCCCCTAGCACCAACCACCCAGGCACTGGTTGAGGATGCAGCCTGAGGGGCTGGCATGAAATCAAAATAGGCGAGTGGTGCACCCGCAAGAGCAGCCAGCAGGTCACCAAGCACGCGGTGGGCTGCCAACATGCCGCCCCGCGCGGTGTTGTCTCACTGGCACCACGCGCACACTCACCAGCAGCGGTGTTGTCTCACTGGCACCACGCGCACACTCACCAGCAGCGGTGTTGTCTCACTGGCACCACGCGCACACTCACCAGCAGCGAGCAGCTCGTGATGCACGCGGTGGGCTGCTGTCATGCCTTTAAAACAATCTCACTAGCACGCGGTCATGTCTCACTAGCACCACAAACTCACTCACCTGTTGAGTATGCGGCCAGACGGGTTAGTATCAAAGAAGGCCAGGGGCGCGCGCACAACAGCAGCAAGCAACTCGTGGTGCACGCGGTGGGCTGCTGTCATGCCGGCACGTGCGAAGGAGAAGGCGCGGAGGAGCGTGAGCAGCGAGTTGAGGAGAGCGATGAGGGTGAAGAGCCGCAGGTAGAAGGCGTTTGTTGCTGCCTCTGAGTGGGGGGCTGGGAGGCCAGGTAGAGAGGGCAGCGGAGAGAAGGCAGAGATGGGAAGGAACGGAGATGCAATGCAATCCCCATGGCCCCATGCGGTGGCTCCAAGCAGTGCACACACACAACACGATGAGCTAGCACCCTAACACAAATGACAGCTGCACCGCTGCTCACCGTGCTGCACAGCGTCGGTCCAGAGGGAGAGCGTGACGTCAGCAGCATTGCGGGAGCCCTGCATGAGCGCCAGGCTCGCCAGCACCAGCGCCAGCAGCGGCCACCCCACCGCTGCACAATACCTCCTGTGATGGGGGTCACACAAAATGGGGGAAGGAGGGGAAAGCGACAAGAGGGCAGGGGCGGCTGCTTAAGTTGATGGCAGGAGGGGTTAACTTTGCATTTGAGAGTATTTGCATGCACCACTGGGAGGGGCGGCAGAGAGGGCTAAGAGCATCGGCACACACCGGTACACGGAGAGCCGCACCGATCCCGCCTCCCTCCTTTCCTCCTCCTCTAACGCTGCACCCGCCTCCTGCCCCTTCCCCTCGCCGCTGCAGCCCCGGGCTTCCATGTCTGGTTCCTCTGCACACGGGCCCCCCTCCTCCTCCTGCCTGCTTTCCTCACTGGCAGCACCAGCAGTGGCACCATCCACACCACTCACACCATGGCCTTCCTTGGTGGGACACTCCTGTGCTTTCCCATCAGCTTGCCCTGCCACCTCCCTCGCTGCAGAAGCCCCTTCCCCTTCCCCATGCCCATTCCGCCCACATTTCCTGCCTTCGCCCTCGCCCTCCTGCCCCCGTTTCTCCGCATCCTGCTCGCCTTGCTGCTCCCCCAGCAGCCTCACCAGCAGACCGCGTGTATCTGCATCCATGCACTCGCCATCATGCATGCGCGAATCATCACTATCCACGCCACTATTCCCAGGCATGAGAGCGGGCACGCGGGTGGCAGGAGGTGCCACATGCACGATCCTGCCACGCTGCATGGCCACCACCAGTGATGATCGCTGCACCGCCTGCCAGCACGCACACACACTTGGGAGGTGAGTGGGGCAGGGAGAAGCAGGACGGGTGGAGGGGCATGGCAGCAGCTGGGAGGGCGAGTGGGAGTACTACCCGGGGCGAGTGCGTGCAGAGCAGGATGGTGCGGCCTCTGGCGATTGGCCCGAACAGGGCGGCGTCGCTGACGTGGCGTGCCACGCGGGCATCCAGCGCTGACAGCGGGTCATCGAGCAGCAACAGTGTGGCATCGGAGTAGAGCACTCTGAAGGGTGGTGTTGAAGCGTGTGAATAGGGGTAAGGAGAGGAGCGGGGGAGAAGGAGAGAGGGACTTACGGAAATACACTGCATGTGAGGGGCTTTGAGAGGTGTCAAACAAGACAAGTGATGCGAATGCTTCCAGAGCGCACCTGGCGAGGGCAAGGCGGGCGCACCTGGCGAGGGCAAGGCGGGCGCACCTGGCGAGGGCAAGGCGGGCGCGCTGGCCGCCGGAGAGCGTGAGCCCTCTGTCCGCCACCTGTGCCTCGTCGCCCCCTGCCATGGCTGCCGTGTCCTCATGCAATGCGCAGGCGTGCATCACCTGCTGGTACCTGGTGGGTGGGACGCATGGTGACATGATATGGTGGTCCGCTAGTGCAATCCATGGTGGCTCGATAGCATGATGCAGCAGTGACTCATCTTCACTCTTGCACATGCCATGTGTCGCGCTATTAACACATAGCCTGCGGCTAAGTGTGAATTGCACAGCAGCTTAAGGTGAGGTTGTACTATATTGCTGTTTGTTTCTTGTACTCATACTTTCGTTTGTGTGCTTGGAATGTACTGTACATATATGGAGCCGAGCAGGGGGGAGAAGCTCAAGGAATTTGGTGGGGACAGGGTTGAATTCGATTCCAGGCTGGGAATTCGATTCCAGGCTGGGAATTCGATTCCAGGCTGGGAATTCGAGTCAGAGAATGCAATTCCAGCTGGAAGTCGGTGCATGCCTAGTGGGCCACTGGGACCCAGCTAGCACCTAGAAGCTATCGCGTGCAGCACTGCTGCTATGCGACTTGGCAACTAGAGTTAGCTTGTGGGACAAGCAACCTAGGCAGAAGGATGGTTGGGACTTAGGCAGGGGAGGATACCTGCTCTGTGCTTTTTGCTTGTTTGTTTCTCGTAATACTGCAATTCGTTTTCCCAACCACGGAGGCAAGCAGTTAAAGAGAAGCTCAGGCAAACTGACGGAGCCCTTGCGAGGGAGAGTATTCAGTCTTGTTGCAAACAAGCAAAAAGCACAGAGCAGGTATCCTCCCCTGCCTAAGTCCCAACCATCCTCCTGCCTAGGTTGCTTGTCCCACAAGCTAACTCTAGTTGCCAAGTCGCATAGCAGCAGTGCTGCACGCGATAGCTTCTAGGTGCTAGCTGGGTCCCAGTGGCCCACTAGGCATGCACCGACTTCCAGCTGGAATTGCATTCTCTGACTCGAATTCCCAGCCTGGAATCGAATTCCCAGCCTGGAATCGAATTCCCAGCCTGGAATCGAATTCAACCCTGTCCCCACCAAATTCCTTGAGCTTCTCCCCCCTGCTCGGCTCCATATATGTACAGTACATTCCAAGCACACAAACGAAAGTATGAGTACAAGAAACAAACAGCAATATAGTACAACCTCACCTTAAGCTGCTGTGCAATTCACACTTAGCCGCAGGCTATGTGTTAATAGCGCGACAGCTGTCGTGAAGTAGCTCCTCTCCTTCTGCTCTTCTGACTGTTCTTCTCTTCCTCCTTCTCAGATTCCTTGTTTCTTCCTGACGGATACTTCCACCTCCTCTCTCACCCTCATCCTCTCATGCCTGCTTGTCTGTCCCGGTACCGCCTGTCTGCCTCTTCTTTCTCCTGGTGTATGTGATGATGCCGCTCCTGCCTTCTCCTTGCTTCTCAGGCTGCATTGCCCCCTCCCGAGCCTGAGTTCCAGCACAGGCAACTCTGGCTTCGGGACCCACAGCCTGACCCTTCCCTTTTCCAGCCGCGGCCACATTGGTAACGTGCTCCTTGATGCTCCTGCCTCGCTCATCCTCTAGCACCAGCACCCCGGACTGCCGGATCTCCTTCACCTTCCAGCGTTCTGGTCCGACTGGCAGGTCCAGCGTATCTCGCTTGGGCTGCCTCAGGTACACTTCCTCCCCAGTCTCTACTCCCTTACGTCTGCTGCCCTCCTCTCCTGCCTTCCTCTGTTGGTAACGTCTAGCGTCCCTCAGCTGCGCCACGTGGAGGTTGTCCAGCGCTGCCGGCGTCAGTTCCTTCAGGTAGGCCGCCCTTTTCCTAGCCAGCTCAGCCCACAGGTGTGGCTCGTCTGCATCTACCGTCGCACTTAGCAGCTTCGGTGCATCCACGGGTAGGATGGGGTGCCTCCCGTACAGCAGATGGTAGGGCGACATGTCCTTCAATGCCGCTTGCTTGGCAAAGCGATAACCTGCGAGGATCCAGTGTAGCTCCTGGTCCCATCCTCTCTTGTTCGTCTCCCCGTAGGCCCGCAACCCTCTCTTCAGCGTCTGAATCAGCCGCTCTGTTAACCCATCCGACTGCGGGTGATACCTTGATGTCACACGGTGAGTGATCTGCAGCTCCTGCAAAGTCTCTTCAAAGCAGCCCTTGAACTCGGTACCCTGGTCAGTTAACACCTCCCCGCACGCCCCAAACCTGGTGATCACTTGCTCCACGAACGCCTCTGCAATCAGCCCACTGTTCTTGCTCGGCAGTGCCCTGGCCTCTACCCACTTACTGGTGTGCTCTACCATCACGAGTATGTATTGCTTGCCTTTCTTGGACAGAGGTAATTCCCCAGCCAAATCTAGCGACCAGCGGTAGCCCAGTCCCCGAATCGGCAGGGACTGCAGCTCCTCCCTTGCCTTCTCCAGTGCTGCTTTGTTACGCCTGCAGGCTGCACACTCATCTACCAGCTCCTTGACGTCCCTCCTTATCCCTGCCCACCAGTACATCGTGCTCAGCAGTTGATTGGTGCGTGCCGTTCCGTAATGCCCCAGCTTCCCATGCACCCGCCGCATGATCCTTTCTCTGTCCTTCTTCTGTGGCACTATCTTCCATCCCTCACTGGTGCGAAGCTGCAGCTGCTCTTGGTACCAACGGTAATGCTGCCCCCTGGCCCTTGCCCTTTCACTGGCCTCCTCGCCCTCCGTGCTCCCTCCCTTAATCCACTCCAGCGTCTCGGTATCCTCCCAGACATCTAACTGCCTCTTCTCCACTTTCTCTTGCCCCCAGCCAGCTGCCGGCACCTGTGCTACGGCTACCAGCTGCGCCACGGGCTGTACAGGTGGAGGGTTCCTAGACAGACCGTCAGCATGCTGGAGGGTCTTGCCCGGGCGGTGGCGGATTTCAAAGTCGTATCCCAGCAGCTTGATCGCCCAGCGGGCATTCCGTCCCGTCAGTTCCTGGTTTGTCATCAGCCACATCAAAGGCTGGTGGTCGGTTACCAGCACAAACCTACGCCCCTGCAGGTAGACCCTGAAATGGTTGATGCCCCATACAGCTGCCAACCCCTCGCCTTCATACGAGCAGTAATTTGCCTCGGTGGGGCTGCAGCTGCGGCTGGCAAATGCTACCACTCGCTCCTCTCGCTCAATCTCCTGGCACAGGACTGCCCCCATCCCCATGCAGCTCCAGTCAGTGTAAAGCGTGAAGGGAGCATCTGCCCTGGGTATCTGCAGCAGTGTGCCTGTTCGTACTGCCTCTAATAGATCCTGTCTGGCCGCCTCTTCCTCCTTTCCCCACTCCCATCGCTTTCCTTCCCTAAGCAGTTGATTCAGGAGGTTCGCTCGCCGGCTAAAGTTCGGCACGAACTTCCTATAGTAGTTTAGGAAGCCGAGCAACGCTCTCAGCCCTGACTTGTCCTTCGGCGGTGCCAGCTTGTCCAGTACCCTAACCTTCGCCTCCTGAATACCCAGCCTGCCCCCTTTCACCTCAAACCCCAGATACGCCACTGTCCTCCTTGCTATCTTGCACTTCTCTGGGTGGCAGGTGAGTCCTGCTGCTGCTATCGCCTCTAGCGTCCGCTTCAGGTCCTCCACATGCTGCATGTCCGTTTTGCTGAAGATCAGCACATCGTCGATATAACACGCTGCTGCTGGTATGCCACGCAGTACCTGATCCATAGCTCGCTGGAACACGGCAGATGCGTTCCGCATGCCGAATGGCATCTTGTTATACTCATACAACCCGTCCACCCCGTGAAAAGCGGTTTTGCGCTTGTCCTCCTCTCTTATGTCAATTTGGTTGAACCCCTGCCTAAGGTCCAGTGTGGTGAAGATGACTGCCCCTTCCAGCAGGTCGAAGATATCCTCTGCAGTCGGCATGGGATAGCGGTCAGGCTCCGTGATCTTATTCAGATCACGGTAGTCCCCGCACATCCGTCGTGACAGAACCGCGCCGGTCAAATCTTTCCTGGCTGCTACCACTGTGGCCGCTGCGTAACTAGACTCGGATGGGCGGATGATTCCTGCTGCTAGCAACTCCTCACACTTCTCTTTGCAGATGGCTGCATCTTCAGCATTCATGCGCCTCCTGCGCTGGTAAGTCGGTATCTCTGTCGTGAGCTTTATCTCTAATTCCCCGCCCTTTTACTGCCCCAGCTCCTACAGGTTGTATGCAAATGTGCCCCTGTGCGCCTTCAGCAGCTGCTTGATCGCCTCTGCCGCCCCTGCCTCCACATCTGCCCCTATCTCCCATTCCTTCTCTGGGCCCTTGGTGACATTCAGCTTCTCTTGTCTCGGCTTCGCCCCTACTTCCTTTTTCAGCTCCACCGCTGAGTACGCTGGCTGCTTCCGCCACCCCCTTTCCCCCCGTGCCTTCTTACCTCCAGGTCCCTTTGCCCCCTTTCTCATCTCTCCAATCAGCCATCTCAGTGAGTGTTGATCAATTGCTCTCCCCACTGCCGCCCTCCTTGCCTCCTCACTTATACCCGGTGCTGCCGTCGCTCCCGCATGATAACCCATGGCCAATTCTCTCTCCAGAGCTGTCGGCTCCTCCCACCTTTTCCTTTTGTGGTCGTATATCATCCCTGGGCCTGGTTGGCCGTCCACTTCAACAAACCCCCTGGCTCCTGGGTAGGCGACCAGCGTCGGCAAGGCTCGTCGTGCCTCCCCTATCCTGTTACACTGGTGCTGCAGGGGATGGTCCGGCTTCCACACTGGAGCTGCCACGCGACCCGGTTCCAGGATATCCTCCACTATCCTCCGGTCATCCCTCTCCACCCTAGACAGTCTGGCACGCAGCTCTTCCTCTGGTAGCACGTTCTGCCAGTAGCACCGTGACCGGTGGCATCGTGCTCCGTGCAGGGCTGCATCCCAACTCACTCCCTTCCCTAGCTGTGCCTCTACCATCTCCCTCACAGCTCGCACCGGTTCTCGAGGATCTCCCTTCATATCCACGTGCTCCAAGATGTACGCGTATTTTTCTCCTTCTTCCCTCATCCAGGCCATGACCTCCAGGAGCTTCTTGATTAATCCCGTGCGCTCATCCTGCAGCCCTCTTCCCTTGCCTGCCCGAGAAGTGCCCTGGCACTCCCATCCGGCCACCAGTAAGTCCACCTTTCCCCAGCTCCTCACTTCCTGCCTGCTGATCTCCTTTACATCCCAATGCTCTCTCTTCATTGCCTCTACTATGACTTCCTTTCGCAGCTGCGCTGGATACCGCTCCTGCAAGGCCCTGGCATGACTCCACGCCATCTTACGCACCTCCGGATCTAACTCTATGTAATGCCACTTCTGAACCTCCAGGCCGGCCTCTAGGGCTGCTGCAAGCCCCGCCCCTATGCCTCCGAACAGCTCCACTAGCGTCACACCGTACTCACTCAGCTTACGAATCACGTGATTGACGCCAGGAGAAAGAAGAGGCAGACAGGCGGTACCGGGACAGACAAGCAGGCATGAGAGGATGAGGGTGAGAGAGGAGGTGGAAGTATCCGTCAGGAAGAAACAGGGAATCTGAGAAGGAGGAAGAGAAGAACAGTCAGAAGAGCAGAAGGAGAGGAGCTACTTCACGACACATGCCATGCGCTCGCCATGCTACACTTAGGCATCATGCACACAAAAGCACGTGCCAAGGCAGCATCGTGAATCACCACAGCACCACACCATTTCATTCCCTCCCTGCCCTTCCTCGCAGTCTCTGTCCCCAGCCCCACCTGATGGGGTCCCATGGCGCGCCAAACAGCACGTTCTCTCGTATGCTGCCTGCGAACACCCACGGCTCCTGTGCGCAGGGCAGGGGAAGAGAAGCAGGGGGCACGTGAGACGGGCGCATCGACACAGCACGCACATGCGCATGGCAGTGGTGGGTTGGAGCACGCAACACGCAAGCTGCAAGCGAGAGCACGCACCTGCAGGACAGCAGCGGAGCGGGGCGAACGATGCATGGCAGGTGTACGTGCATTGCCACATGCTGCCGCTGCATGTGCATGTGTGCACGGCGAGGCGTGCGTTGGTACAGGTTGCATCTCGCCTAGGATTGCAGCGAGCAGTGACGACTTGCCACTGCCCACCTGCAAGCGTGCGGGTAGAGGAGTATGGGAGGAAGACGAGGAGGGAGAGCGAGATGCAGGAGTGGAGATGTGCACGGTGAAATGTAGGAAGAGAGGACGCTTATGGCACAGCTGGCATGGTCAGAAGCAGGGCATTTGAAGCAGTGCAGCTGCTTTGAGAATGATGCAATACAACACGGAACGCTGAGAGAGCACAAGGTGAGGAAGGGGTCACCTTGCCCACAATGGCCACCACAGCCCCCTCTGGCACGTCCAGGCATATGCTGTGCAGCGCAATGCTGCTCCTACTGCTGTTCCCCCTGTCGCCACCACTGGTGGACCTGCTTTCCTTACGCTCCTGCGCAGCGGAACCATCCTCTTCCACACTGGCCCCAGTCGGCACACTGCGATTGGTGGTGGCGGTGGTGGGAGCACGCCAGGAGAAGCTGAGCACGCACATGTGCACTGCTAGTGGCGGGGACGGACTGGCCGCACAGGTGGGATCTGTGGCAGGAAGGGAGAGTGCAAGGCGCTCACTGCTGCTCGTGGCACCCCCTGCTGCACCCCCTGCTGCACCCCCTGCTGCACCCCCTGCTGCACCCCCTGCTGCACCCCCTGCTGCACCCCCTGCTGCACCCCCTGCCTCGCCATCAGCCTCGCCAGAAGGGGGGCTCAGCAGGGGGGCTGTGAGAGGCGAGAGTGCGGGGGAAGCGTGGCAGGGCAGCGGCGAGGGGGGGTGGCGGAGGAGGAAGGGGAGGAGCGACCCCAGCAGACTGCTGCTGTGAGGCCCGGCGCTGCTGCTGCTGCTGTGAGGCCCGGTGGTGATGCTGGCAGCAGGTGCGGTGGTAGGAGGTGGCGCAGTGGGAGGGGATGAGGCGGTGGGGAATGATGAGGTGGAAGAGGGGGTGGTGAAGGCAGAGGGGAGGCGGGCTATGGGTGGTGTGGGGATGCAGAGAAACGCCTCCAGGCGCTTCACAGAGATGAGCGCCTGAGGGGTGGTGGGAGTGGAACAGAGAGTGATGAGAGATGAGAAAGGCATAGGGAGAGTGGGGGGAAGGCATGAAAGAACGTGAGTTTGCGTGATGGTGAAATGATGAAGGGGGGATCCAGGGCAGCACACAACTGTATCTGTGCGACAGAAGCACACATGAGCCTGCACCTGCTGGACAGAGGAGGTCCCTGCGGCATACACTGCACCGCCCGCTCATACGCTGCACCGCCCGCTCATACGCTGCACCGCCCGCTCATACGCTGCACCGCCCGCTCATACGCTGCACCACCCGCTCATACGCTGCACCGGCCGCTCATACGCTGCACCGTCCGCTCATACGCTGCACCGCACGCTCATACGCTGCACCGCCCGCTCATACGCTGAACCGCACGCTCATACGCTGCACCACCCGCTCATACGCTGCACCGCCCGCTCATACGCTGAACCGCACGCTCATACGCTGCACCGGCCGCTCATACGCTGCACCGCCCGCTCATACGCTGCACCGCACGCTCATACGCTGCACCGCACGCTCATATGCTGCACCGCACGCTCATACGCTGCACTGCATGCTCATACGCTGCACCGCCATTGCAAACGCATGGCAACAATGAGAGCGAGAGACAAGTACCTCGGCTCCACTCTCACCTCGACGATGCCGTTGATGACCCAGGGAAAGGAGTTGAGCGGGCGGTGCAGTGTATGACCCCAGCAGCACGTTGAAGAGTTTCGAGGCGTCTCAAAACGAGGCACATGGACAATACATGCAGAGAATGAGAGCATGTGGCATAGTGAGACCTTGGTTGAACTCGTACCTCGACGATGCCGTTGATGACCCAGGGGAAGGAGTTGAGCGGGCCCAGCAGCACGTTGAAGAGTGCTAGACTCGTGAACACCTGTGGGGTGGGGTGAGGGGTGCGGAAGGGAGGGCGTTGTTGAGTCGATTCAAATTGTTAGGCGACCTGAACCAATTTTCTACTCGACTCAGAAACCAGCAACATGAGAAACAGCAGGGTGAGTGAGAGGAGAGAGCAGAAAAGAGAGGGAAAACGAACGGCATACCACGGGGGCGTTGAGAGCGGATGGCATATCACGGGGGCGACGAGTGCAGGGCATGATGGCATCCCACGGGGGCGACGAGTGCAGGGCATGATGGCTTACCACGGGGGCGTTGAGGGAGCGGCCGAGGAGCAGCAGCGAGGAGAAGGTGGCGAGGGAGAAGAGCACAGGCGTGCACGCCCAGAAGTACACACACCACGCGTCCAGGTACTTGCGCACCTGCGGGGTGGAACAGGTTGGGGGGAGCAGAGCAGGTGGATTGCTTGGAGTCAACTCGAACGAGCCAGGCGTGCACGCCCAGAAGTACACACGCCACGCGTCCAGCCAGGTACTTGCGCACCTGATGCATGCAATGGTGGGGAAGAAGCATGTGTGTGGGGATCATGCAGTGCAGGCATGAGACGCGTCTGAGAGCATTCCCGCATGTGTGTCAGACACGTACGTGCACCCCTGAGGCACGCAATGGGTGGAGGGAGGGAGGGGAATGTGGATGCTGGTATACAACCTGCCTTGCCAGCCCATCCCAGCCCAGCCCAGCCCAGCCCAGCCCAGCCCAGACATACACAGATACACAAACACACGTACAGCAAGGGCGGAGAGCTCGAGGTGTCGAGCGGCATTGATGCGGGAGAGCAGAGCGCCCTCCATGGCCATGGCGCGCACTGCTGCCACATGGTCCAACAGCTCCTGCATCGCCTGCACCCTGATGACGTGGCAGGGTGACGTGGCAGGGTGACTTGGCAGGGTGAGTGAGGGTGTCACACGATAAAATAGCGGGAGAGAGAGCAAGAGCAAAAGCATCCGAGCCTTGTCTCTCTGTGTGCCCCTCACCTGGCATCCTTGCTGGTCATCATCTGCTTGCTCGCTTCTCCTATCCTCCCCGCCAGCCACCGGTTCACTGCACTCACCACATGCACATGCACATGCACATGGCACATGCACATGCGCACGACACACATGCACATGGCACATGCACATGCGCACGACACACATGCACATGGCACATGCACATGCGCACGACACACATGCACATGGCACATGCACATGCGCACGACACACATGCACACAGCACAGCGCAACACACATGCGCACAACACAAGACACATGGACACGGCATAGCACACAGTGTGTATCACACACATGGCACATGTCCATTTGCAGAGCACACGGCACAAGACAAACAGACAATGGCACATGTCAAATGTGGCAGGTGCGGCACATGTCAAATGTGGCAGGTGCGGCACATGTCAAATGTGGCAGGTGCGGTGCGGCACATGTCAAATGTGGCAGGTGCGGCACATGTCAAATGTGGCAGGTGCGGCACATGTCAAATGTGGCAGGTGCGGCACATGGGCTCTTCTGTGAGTGGCGGATCGAAAAGGAAAACGACACACTCATGGAGACACCGGCGATGCGTTTTGAGGCACACGGTCTCAAATGTGAGAGGGGATTGAGCAGGAGAACAAGAGAGTGGTGGGGCAGCAGGCGTCCAAGGGTAGGGTGTGAGCAGCAGCAAGGTCAGAGAGGTCAAGGCGCGAGCACCTGGGATGAGGAGCAGCACAACTGCCAGGCCAGCCAGAAACGCGTAGCTCACCTGCAGGGAGATGACAGGGAGAGGAGAGAGGGGGAGGGGGGGGGGGGGGGGAGAGAGGGGATGCAGTGTAGTAAGTTCAGTGGCAGATGGTACGAAGCAGGCCTGGCCATCCATACAATGAGAATGGGTGGTGGCATATCAAACACCGAGACGCGTCGAGGAGGAAGTGCGGCTAGAGAAATGTGTGAAGCGGTAGAACTAGTATGTGTGTGCTGTGCTGTGCAGCGTGCCGCCATGGCACAGAGCATGGTGCATACCTGCCAGTAGAGCAGCAGCAGCGCCACAAGGATCTGCAGAGGCAGACTGCGAGAATGAAACACGTGGAGACAGGGAGTGGGAAGAGGTGAAAACTATGGGGTAAGATTTGTGTCCCAGATTGGATATAGGGTAGGCTGGATAGTCAGCGATTTTCAGACAGTTCTACGCTAAAAATCGGCAAGCATGAAGTTGGAATTTCCCACCAGGAATTAATAATGATTCCAGAAAAGCACAAATGAGCCCTGGTTCACAATTTAAAGCTGAAACTCAGAATGTGCTTCCGATCCGAGTATTGCCAAGGAAAGCACTGACCCCCAGAGGTCGTGCAGCGACATGACGAGGTTGACAAGCCTGTCCGCATCCACACTCATGAGCGTCTGCACCTCTCCACCCTCGAATGACCCCCTCTGTGCCGCACTCACTGCCAGCACCTGGTGGAGGCAGGGGAGAGGTGGGGGGGAGGAGGGGGAGAAGCACATGACGCTAATCGGCACAGTGGAAGGAAGTCACTCCCAGCACTGACAGACGCAGCAGCAGCGCTGCGGCAGCAACAGGAACCACTCGTCCAGGCACTGCAAGCACTCAGCAGGCGACAGCAATCGAGGCGAGGGCGACACCTTGGCGAAGACGCAGGTGGCGATGGCAGCGCGCAGCTTGAGCCCCATGCGCGCCAGGCGGTACGAGTAGTGCGCGCCTAGGAAGGCTCTGGGGTGAGGAATGAGCCATGAGAAATGAGGGACGAGGGTGGTGCGATGAATGGGAAGAAGCTAGAAGGACACGAGGTTTGAGACATGGCCGCCTGTTCACAAACGCCATGCGATGAGTGTGGAATGCCCGGGAGGAGGAGCAGGAGATAACCGAGTCAGTTGTTCATGGGTTGGAGACGAGCACAAGGGTAAGGAACACGTGAAGTCACCATGCCAGGATTTCTGAGGCTCACCATGCCTCCCTACCACAGACCTCAGGGCAGAGGTGGCGCCGATGGCGAGAGCGCAAGCGAGGCCATACGACCACGGCGTGGGGGGCGCGGCAGGCCCTGGCAGGACGGTGGGTGGGATGGATCAGGAACGCACAGAGGGGCAACCAGGAGGAGGCGATGAAACGGCCGGGAGGCTGTTGTGGTACTCACACGAATGAGGGATTGCATGAAGCGAGGGTCGAGTGGGAAGGGGGGAGAACGGAGTGAGGGGAATGGAAGGAGGAGGGCGCGAAAAGCAAACAGCTATCACCGGGGGATTGGAAAGGTGGGGCAGGAGTGAGGCGAGCGAGCTGAAGCAAATGCGTGAATACCGAGGGTGGCAGGGGCCGGAGAAGGTGGGTGCAGGGCGAGGGCATGTGAGCCGTTGTCGAGCACGGACACGAGCTGGTGCAGCAGCAGCGGCCCCGCGAAGGCCAGCGCGTCGTTCACCAGCTGAATGGGGGAGTGAGGGGGATGGCGGTGAGGGAGCGAGGCAGGTGGGGGATGGATGAGAAGGCGGAGGAGCGCAGGAAAGGAGGACGAGCATGGCGTTGGGCAATAGACGGCGTAGGTAACAGGATGACTGCGCGATTGCCGTGGTTATTTGAATCCACTGTGACATGGTGACATGGCCATTCATTGTACACTTCCATGTCTTAGCACCCTGATCTGGCGCTTACAACCCACGTGTTTTCCTCACTTTCATCCCCCAGGTCACCAGGTACTCTGCGCTCTTGTGCCTTGCGTTCACCCCACTATGTCACTGCTCGGTTTCCACTCCACGTCTTACCACCCTGATCCGCTGGTTACCACCACCATTCCACGATAGCGCACCTTGATCCCGCCGATCATGAGGTATTCCGCGCCGAAGATGGCCACCATGCATCGCAGCAGCGACGGCGCTCCTCGCTGCGCGCTGCGCCTGCGCCGTTCACGCGACGACGGCCCGTCTATATGGTAATCCCGGTCCGACTGAGACGGTTCTCCCCACACACCACTCGTCTGACCGTCGCCGCGTGATGCAAGCATGCCGTTGTCGTCGCCTGCTGCTCGTTCCTCCTCCCATTTCGTCCAAAGGAGCTGCCCGCACACACGTGGCTCCACGTCAGCAGGCAGAGGCAGCAAATCTACGGGCGACAACTGGCGTCGAGAGCCAAGTGCGACGAGGGGATTCACCCAGCTGAACGTTAGATTCGAGGCGACACGGCGGAGGGACGATAAGAGGGACTCAGCGCGACTGACGATGCGCCAACGGGGCGATAAGCTCGGCGACTCCATGAAAACAGACCGAACGATCTTCGCATTCCTCTTATTCAGTCAATGCGTCGCGTGTCATGGATCGCGGTCGACCGTGGGACACTAACCACCAAGGTAGCGGCGCGGATATCACTGACCGAGCTTGGGTGAGTGGGACATGCACTACTGATGCAGGGAAGGAATGTCTAGTTTGTCAGACTGAAGCAATGCCACCATTTTGGCGGCCGTTGGGAATTGTCAGGCAGTGTGCCAATTTCGTCCAGCACAAAGAAATTCGTCATATGCTAAGCCGAGACCGCCAGCAAAAGGAATTGACTAAATGCAACCGAACTCGGATGCATCGATCAACAATTACATATTACAATTTCGATCTCCTATTTCAGCACATTCGATATTGCGGCAATATTCCCGCGGTGTCAGCATCAAACAGAGCACCGACAGCCACCGCGCGGGTTTCCCCCACCCCTCAACCTCTCCAGTTCCGCCACCCCTTCCGCGTGTAGCGGGAATAAAGCGCTTCCCGCGCGCGCGCGCGATGCGAATCCCCTCACCTCATTCACCACAACAGTAGCAGGAAAACAAATCCCTAAGGCGGGATGGATGGATGATGGATATTCAGGGCAACCGTTTTCGGCACTTCCAAGAAGGCACTCCCAGGGTAGGCATTTTCAAGAAATGTCTGAACTCGCTCAATCCGTCGACGTAAATGGCGGTCCAGTAGAGTGATTCATCCAGCCATCCATCAGTGCGCGACACCCAGCGGTCAGTGACGAGCTCCACAGCGCGTGAAATTAGTGGCTCGTCCGGTCTGTATCAGCTCCGCCGCATTTTGCCTCAGCTCACTATCGCTGAATTCGAGGGAACAGATCATTCACTGCCTTGCGCTCAACGAGCTGGGTGCAGCCATGGATGAACCTACTGAGACCGTGACAGCACAGCCCAACGCGACGGGTAGTGCCGGCACGATGGAAGAGCTGCCAATGGAGACGATATCGCTGTCGGATAAGGTCGATGGGCAATGCGCGTCTGCGACGGGCGACGATGATGGCGACGACGACGGCGACTCGCAGGCGACGTCGCAGCTGACAGCGGAGAAGCAGCCGACGGAAGCGAGCGATTTCGACGACAAGTCGGACGACGAAATGGAGGCCGCGAAGCCGGGGGAGAGGGTGCTGAGCGCGGAAGAAGTGGAGCGCGTGCGAATGATGCTGACGATCGTGGGCGACCGCGAGCGACGCGAACTGGAGGCCAAGTACCCTGAGCTGAAGCAGCAGCCGCTGTCGCGCGACCCGAGCAACAAGGAGGAGGGCGACGAGGACGACGACTCGCCGCCGCGTCTCATCGTCCCGGTCGGACGAGATCTGGTACGCCCCGCTGCTCGGATCCCTCGCGTCCCGTTCCCATTCCGTTCCCGTTCTCCCATTATTCATCAATTTATTCGGTTTCCTCACAACTCCCGTCCTTACCCTTGTGTCGTCGTACCTTCTCGGCGACGCGAAATCAGCTGGAGGCGACGCTGGGCGACAATCCGTTCATGCTCGACTTCGGCATCCGCAGCTGCGCCTTCTCCTACAGCCACTTCGTCGGCATGCGACGAATCAAAGCCTTCTCCGAGCCCGACGCCTCCGCGCGCTCGTACATCGCGTCCACGTCAGCAAAGATTCGCGGCAACGCGGTGGCGATAAAAGACAAGCTCGAGGAGAATTGGCCGAAGCTGCAGGCGTCGCTCGCAGCCGCCATCGGCGAGTCGCTGACTGCCACGTGGCAATGGGTGAAGGAACACAAACCGACGGGTTTGCCCATTCCGGGCGTGCCGAAACCGGAAGGGGGAGCTGCGGAAAAGGGGGAGGGGGAGGGGGAGGGGGAAGCAGGGAAGGAGAATGGAGTGGTTGGGGGGGCGGTGGCGGAAGGAGGGGAAGCAGCAGCGGAGGGGAAGGTCGGGGAGACAGAAAGCGGGGACGCAGCGACAGAGGCGGCGGAAGCGAGAAGCACAGAAGGAGCAGAGCAGGTTACGATCGTTACAGATGAAAATGCAGAAGGGGAGGGAAAAGCGGAAGAAGTAAAACAAGGGGAAGGAGCGAGCGAAGAGAGTCGCGCCGAGGAGAGAAGGGAGGAAGTGTTGGACGAGAAGGAGAGGGCGAGGCGCGCCAAGGAGGAGGAGCGGCAGGTGAAGGAAGAGGCGGCGCGGAAGGAGGAGGAGGCGCGGCGGGAGCTGGAGGCGCTAGTTGCGCGCATGGAGAAGTGGGAGATCCTCTTCCGCAACCCCTCCCTCGCTAGCGCCCCCGCGCAGACCCTCCAGTTCGCCTGCAACGCCGCAGGGTGAGACGGGCGCGGAGAGACGCGCAGAGGGGTGGCGCGCTGGGGGGGCCGGAGTGCGCGGTTGCAGAGTACTCGCCATGAATTGCAGCAGTCTGGACAGGGGGGTTTGTTGAGAGGAGAGGAGGAGAGATGTGGCTGTGTCGTGAGAGCTGCCCTCGCAACACAGCCCCACACAAGCATGCGCTCAGTTTCACGCCCCCAACCAGGTCCCCCAACCCCACCCATTCCCCCCATCCCCGACCATTCCCTCACCCCCAACCACTCCCCCCACCCACAAACATGTCCCCGTCCTCCAACCATACCCACCACCCCGTTTCTCCCCCCCACTCCCGCCGTCCCCCCTCTCCTTCAGCGCAGCCTGGCCCTGGTGCACCAGAAGCTCGCCACGTGGCAGCAGGTGGTGGTCTCGCCCGCCGTGCTGCTGGACGCCTCACTGGCCGTGATTGTAGCGAACGGAGGAACAGTGCCCGAGAACAAGGGCTACCAGCCGTCCTTCCCGTTAGAAGCACAGAAGAGCGACAGGGGAGGGGGGAAGGGGGACGAGAGCGCGGGGAAGGATGGGCAAGAAGGGGAGGGGCAGGGGAGTGCGATACGGTGGGGATCTGCGGTGATTAGAGGGCACTACCTGCCCAAGAGAATAGGGGAGTCGCTGCTGCTGTCACCACAGAACTTCATGGCGGTGAGTGAAGCAATGTGCTGCATGTGGTCAAATGTGGCCCCATACCAGTGTTTCCCAATCCCCACATTCCAGCTCCTCTGCTTGTGCCTGCTCTTGCTCCCTCCATACCTCATGCCCAACCCACCCCCATTCCCCCCACCCCCTGGCATCGCAGCTGGCGGTGACGCTGCCTGCTCGCCTGCGCACGTCCCCCTGGAGATTGCTCTACTCCACGGCCAGGGATGGCATCAGGTGAGCATACAGGTGGCATCAGGTGATCATGCAGGATGCATCAAGTGATTGTCCAGGTGGCATAACGTGATGATGTATGTGGCGTCAGGTGACTGCAACAGAGGTTACGGAATGATGTGATACGTCCATAGGTCATGAATATCTCTCTTGTTAGCCCCTCCATGGCTCTGCACTTACTCATGCAAATTTTTCTCTCTTCTGCCGTACTGCCTGACTTTGCCGCATGCCTCCATGTCTCGTGCCTTATCGGGTGTGTGCATGGTGCAGCATGGCAACATTGTTTCGGAAGATCAAGGGCAAGGGCGCGTGTCTGCTGGTTGTGCGTGACTCGAATAAATACGTGAGTGCCCAATTGCCCAGTGCCTATGCCAAGGCACTAACCCCATGCTTGATTCACAAACCCATGCTGCCACACCTGTCTCTGTCCTTGCTGGCACCACTTCCTGATCTCCTCGTGTCTTTCACGCACATGTGCATGCGTCCATGTGTGCGTGCATGCATGCATGCGTGAGCAGGTGTTTGGGTGTTTCACCAACGAGGAGTGGCGCCCCATGGACCGCTACTACGGCAACGGAGAGTGCTTTGTCTTCCAGGTACCCTTCTACCCCGTGCGCCTCCGTTCGAAATTCTTTTGCCCTTGATGCCTTTCTAACCCCCCTCCAACCCCCCCCCTTTCTCCCAGCTCTCTGCCGACCTTTTCCTGCCAGCCCCACTCTGCTCTCTGCCAGCTCCCACCATACCTTTCCACTCTCCTCCTCCCTACCCCACGCGCTCCTCCTCTTTCCCCCCCTTCTCCCTCCCTCTTCCCCCCACCAGGTGCAGCCGGAGTGTGTGGCGTACAGGTGGGCGCGCACCAACAGCTACTTCATGCTCTCCAGCAATGCCATGCTTGCTGTGGGGGGCGGGTGAGTGGGGTTGAGGGGAGAGGTGGGGGAGAGTTCGTGGGTGGTAGATGGGAGACGGTGCTGCACTCTAGTTCATTCGGTTTCACCTGGTTGCTTTGAAAGAAAGCCGTTGGCACCTAGTGCTATGCTTGGCTCGCATGTTTCTCTGCATTCTCCTGTTTCCCTACTCTACGCCCTGTTACCCCACTGTACCCTTTTCCCCGTATGCACCCCGTGCCCCACAACACCATACCCCGCACTGCGCTGTGTACAGCAACCACCACAGCCTGCTGCTGTATGCTGATCTCCTCACAGGCGCCAGTGCGCCGTGTGACACCTTTGGCAGCGCCATCCTTGCCAGGTACTGCCATGCCTTGCCGTGCCGTGCCATACCATGCCTTGCCGTGCCGTGCCATGCCATGCCATGCCATGCCTTGCCATGCCATGCCATGGCTTGCTATTCCTTTCAGCATTCTCCTCTTAGATGTAGCCTTCTCTGTCCTCATACGCTGCACCATCTTCCATGCTTCACACCTCCTCAAACTTCTTATACTTGGCGTTGCCATAGCCCCCTTCCCCATGGCTCCCTTCCCCATGGCCCCCTTCCCCATGGCCCCCTTCCCCATGGCCCCCTTCCCCATGGCCCCCTTCCCCATGGCCCCCTTCCCCATGGCCCCCTTCCCCATGGCTCCCCGCTCTCCCTGCTCTCTGTTTGCCTCCCCGTGCTGCCTTACCAGCTCTGAGGAGTTTGAGGTGGCACAGGTGGAGGTGTGGGGCTTTAAGTGAGCCCACGCCCATTCCTCAGCTCTCACCGTTCGCGCAGCACCACTTGCACCCAAGGCATCGAGTCCGCATTCCTAAACGCATCACATGGGCTGCAGCCTCTCGTTAGCTGCGACGGGGTTGGT